ACATCTCCATCCCACATGTCAGGATTCCAATCTTTTCCTACCAATGCCTGCACCTTTACTGCTGACACCCTTCGAGGCTAGGAATTAAATTTATGTTGTAGGTCAGCCAAACGTATAAGAAGGGCTCCAGCTTTATTTTCTGCAGCTTTAGCTCTCTGGCTTCTAGAGAGAAGATTCTCTTCCAAGGCACACTTGGAAACAGTTAAACTGTTGATTTGAATATGGAGCTTGTCAATTTTATCATTAAGCTCATTGTTTATCTTCATCACTTTATCCAGAGATGCTAGAAGTAACCAGCCCACATCATTATTTTTCTTATTTTTCTGCAAATCGTCAAATCTTTTATGTATAGAGTCACTAAATTTCTTGCTCTTCACAAGAGGTGAGTTAGGAGATTCAAATGGGTCTATCTCCATAAGTGTTTCAAATAGTCTACACCATGGATTTTCAGTACTCTCTATGCTATCTGAAGACTCTGACTTGGAGAGCCTGATCCAAATACCATGAAGCCCATTGAAAAAATTCATCCTTTCAATTCTGTTTCTCTAGAACCACTCCTGGTACCACAATCTGTATTAGTCAGTGTTAGGGTTCCAAATAGCAGCAGCTCCCCCCCTCCCCAAGAGGGACCTACAGACTTTGGAGCCTGAAAAAGGGAACTTAGCTGATAAGCACCTCGACCTTTGAAGTCAAGGGTTGGCTGTACCACACTGGAGAGGCTGAGAATCTGTAGTTGCTCAGTCTGCAAAGCTTGATCTCTCAGTAGTCCCAATCTGGCACTGAAGGTCTGACAAATTCCAAAAGATCAGCTAGTCTTCAGTCTACAGCAGCAAGACAAACTCACCAGCAAGAGAGAAGGCAAGCAGCAAGAAGCCTGGTGATCTCACTGCCTTGGTCTTTTATACTGACTGCCATCAGAAGGTAACACCCACATTTAGGGTGTGTCTTCCGGCTTTAGATGATTCAATAAAGAAGATCTATTTCATTTCAGTTAATCCCAGATCCAATCCATTTGACACCCAGGATTAGCCATCACACCCCCCTAAGCCTTGGTTTCCTTAGATGTAAAATCGGGATGATAATAAGTCTTACTGCGCTGGGTTCTGAACATTAACTGGGACAATGAAAAATGAAAAGAGAGTTAGATTTGGGGAACACAATCAAGACTTAGTACATGTTAAGCAATATTTTCTAGCACTACCATCCCAACACTGTAAGTGTGGGCAATTTGTCAGAGGCACATGATACATACAGAACTCTACATATTGCCAAGGAACTGCCAGTTCAGAGGTCCTCAGAATTCTGTAAACACAGTATACAATTTTAACTATTGAGACACATTGTCTCTGTCACAGCTACTCAACTCAATCATTTGTAGTACAAGGGCAGACATAGGTGATAAGTGAACAAGTAAACATGGTTATGATCCAACAAAGCCTTATGCAGAAACAGGGAGTCCAGGAGCCTGACCCAGATTGACTTGCTCACTGGAATGAATGAGACTTACTGGAATGTCACGCACTCTGAGATTTACCCAACTCTCCCTGCTTCTAACTCCAGTGCCTTTTCTTGTTGTATACATGATAAGCCTGAACTTATGCTTTAAGACTGAGCTCAAACATCCCACTTTATACATGTTGTAGTGCTTCATGACTGTAATCCTAGTACTCAGGATGTGGAAGGAAAATGATTTATGAGTCCAAGGTCAGCTTGTTTTACTTAATGAGACCCTGTCTAAAAAGAAAAGAACCTAGAAATATAAATAAATAAATAAATAAATAAATAACCATCCTGTCTTCTACAAATCATTGGTTGATATTGTTCCTAAGGAGGTAAAGAAAATAAGAAAACCACCAGCTACTAATAGGTTTATCCAAACAAAGGGAAAACGATTTTTTCAAGCACTTAACAGGTGTTTTGTGTATGCTGAGCTTATATCATCTTGTTTTCCAAGCATCTGTAATAAATTGAATTAGAGTTCAAGTGACTGAATATCATGGAGCTGTTACTTTCTTCCAAATTTGTACCAGATGCCTAGAAGTCTGTGCATCAATTTGGGGATTATATTAGTAACTTACAGTTTCAGACTTAAACAACCAAATCTAGATATATGAGACAGTGAAGCAGAGGGAGGGATTTCTGGGAAGGAAGGAAAGAAGAGGACCAGGAAGAAGGAGGAGAGACAGGGGAAGGTAGTAGGGGACAAATGTGATCAAAGAACAATGATACATGTGTATGAAAACGTCATACTGAGACCCATTATTTTGTACACTAACTAGAAACTTAATTTACAATGTAGATTCTTCAAAGATCAAAGTACTTAGATTTAGTTTCCCAATTCTAAATTTTCTTACTGCCTGTTTTCTCTTTGCCAATGATCACATCAGGATAAATCTTTCCTTGTTTTCTCAGGTAAGGAAGAAAGAGCTTAAAGTCTTTGATAGGTAGGAATGTTGGAGAGATGGAGCGGGTGGCGCAGAGGATGGAGAAAGGCACCAAGGCACAGATGGAATTCTCAGCCGGATACAGATTTATTTTGCACTGGGCACCTTTCCCTCGGGGAAGGGAAAGATGTCAGCGAAGGGAAAGATGTCAGGGAAGGGAAGGGAAGGGAAGGGAAGGGAAGGGAAGGGAAGGGTAAGATGTCAGGGAAAGATATCCGCCCACAGGTTGTGAGCTGGGACTTTATATATGGGGGCTTTAGGGTGTGGAAGGGGGGAATGTTCAGGGAGAAATCAGGGAGGGGAAAGCAGGAAAAGCCTGGCTCTGTTCAGTGGGATTAGGGACTGGAAGTGTTTACTTTTTCTCTCTTAAGATAAGAGAAAAGCTTGTTGTGATAAACAGCTTCTAAAATCTCTGGTTAACAGGTAGAATCTGCTTATCTTTGGAGGTCAGAGGAAAGGCAGGCTGCTTCTCAGCAGTTTGTTTCCCTTGACTTCAAAGGTCAAGGTGAGGTCCCTGTTGTGGAGGGGGGAAACTGCTGCTGTTTGGAACCCTAACAAGGAT